ACAACACAACACTGTCTATCAACTGATAAATGGATAAAAAAAAGTGGTATATTTATACAATGAAGTATTATTCAGCTGTAACAATGAAGTACTAACACATTACAACGTAGAATAACCTTGAAAACATGCTAAGTCAAAGAAGTCAGTTACAAAAGACCATAATATCTGATTACATTCAAAGAAAATGTCCAGAGCATTGAAATCTACAAAGACAGAAAGTACATTAGTTGTTGCCTAGTAATGGAGTGTGAGCCTGGGTAGTGTAGGAGGGTGACTACAATAGGTTACAGTGCTTTTTAGGGGGGTGTTGTAAATGCTCTGAAATTGACTCTGGTAATGATTGACATACAAAGGTCTGACAATTAAGTTTGTGAACTTGCCACTGTGTGCTTACATTGGCAGCACTGTAGAAATAGCTCAGTTAGGTCTTGTAACCTTGGTATACCAGTGTCTCACAGCTGAGTTCATGTCAAAATGTGGTGGTGTCTTGTGAAGTGGCATTCATTGTTGTTGTGTGGTTTTTAGTGCTGTTGAAAGAATCTCAAAGCTTGGATAACAGCAATGAATGAATATTAAATTTCTTGTAAAACTTGGCAAGAGTGGAAGTGAAGTCAGGGACATGTTAGTCCAAGTTTATGTGGATAATGCCATGAAGAAAATAGAACTATACAATAGGATTGGATGTCTTTCTGAGGGGAGAGATAACCTAATTGATGAAGAGAGGTCAGGATGGCCAGTAATGAGCAGAACTGACAAAAAAATTGCAAAATTTGTGAAATTCTGCATTAATATCAGCTGACTGTGAGAAGAAAAGCAGACCAAATAAACATCAATAGATAAACAGGAAAATCTTTACTGAAAATCTTGGCATGAGAAAGGTGTGTGCAAAAATGCTCCCAAAGGAGCTCACAGATGAACAGAAGCAAAAGAGAGTCAAAGTTTGCCAAGACATTTGGAGAGGGAAGACAATGCTTTAGGCTATGTTTTCACTGGTGATGAAACACGGCTGTACCAATACAAACCTGAAACAAAGCATCAAAGTGGAAATGGAAGTCAGCCAATTCTCCATGACTCAATAGTTCCATCAGTCCAAATTTAGAGTCAAAATGATGCTGCTAACCTTTTTTGATATTAGAGGGGTTATTCATCATGAATCTATACCAAATGGACAAACACTAACCAAGTTTACTATTTGGAAATGCTGAGAAGGCTGTGTGAAAAGATAAACTGTTCACCAACAACTCGTGGCTCTTGCATCACAACAATGTACCAGCTCATACAGCACTGTCCTTGAGGGAGTTTTTAGCCAGTAAACAAATAACTGTATTGGAACACCCTCCCTACTCACCTCCAATGACTTCTTTACTCAAAAATAAAGGAAATATTTAAAGGAAGACTTTTTTAAAAAAATTATTTATTTATTTATTTATTGCAGTTTTTTTGGCCAGGGCTGGGTTTGAACCCACCATCTCCGGTATATGGGGCTGGTACCCTCTTCACCGAGCCACAGGTGCTGCCCCAAGGAAGACATTTTGATGACATTCAGGACATCAAGGGTATTATGACCACAGCTCTGATAGCCTTTCCAGAAAGAGTGCCAAAACTGCTTTGAAGGGGGGTCTAGGTGCTGGAACTGGTGTGTAACTTCCCAAGGGGAGTACTTTGAAGGTGACTGTAGTGATATTCAACAAGGAGGTATGCAACACTTTTTCTAGGATGTGTTTGTGAACTTGTCACACTTCATATCTGTGAACATACTAAAACTTACTGAATTACACACATCAAATTGTGAACTGTATGGTATGGGAATTATATATCAATAAAGCTATTAAAATTAATAATTAACAAACAGAAAAAGTAATGAAGCATTAATATGTGTTACTGATGATCTTTGAAAACATTATGCCCCCTGAAAGAAGCCAGCTTCAGAAGGCCAAATACTATATATTATTTCTACAAAATGCTCCATGTGATGGGCAATGTTACATATCAACTTAGCTAAGCTATGGTTGTTTAGTCAAACATCAGTCTAAACATTGCTGTGAAGATAATTTTTAGATGATTTCAAAAGGCAGACTTTGAACAAAGCAGACCACCCTCCATATGTGAGTGGGCCACATCCAGTTAGCTGATAACTTTAAGAGCAAACACAGAAGTTCTGAAGTAGAAAGAATTCTCCCCAGAAGACTACAACACACATATCCTGCCTGAGTTTCCAGCCTGCTGCCTTTGGAATCTGGACTCCAGTCTGTAATACCAGTTTTTACCTGAATGTCTAGCTCCTTGCCTGACCTACAGATTTTAGGCTTGTCTGCACCGACAATTGCATGAGCCACTTTCGTAAATCTTCCTCAATCTCTCCCTCTCTGGTGAGAGTGTGTGCGTGTACTTGTGTGTGCACACATGTCCTTAACTAGTACCGATTCTCTGGGGAAACCTGCTTGGTCCCTTATCTCCACCACAGGCAAACCTGTATACATGCAGAGTACATTCATTGCTGTCCAGGCCTATAGGAAGGATAAATGGGAAGCCTCTGGTTTACTTGGTGTGAGTTTCCTTTGGGGGCCTAAAATGTTCTGAAATTAGTGATGACAGTTACACTTTGTGGATGTAATTCAGTAATTATAAATGTGCTCATACCTTACATCTGTATACATTATGTTTGCCTATATACATAATGTATATATACAGACAAATGTTTGAATGCAAACACTGAATTATATCCTTTAAATGGTTAAAATGGTGTTTTTCTCTCTAACCATCCTTTAAATGGTTAAAATGTTTTTTCTCTCTAATTTAAAAATAGTGTAGTTGATTTAAAGGACAAGGAGGAGGAAGGGGGCAGAGAGGGTCTTAATTTTCCGTTCCCTCATGTCTTTTTTCCGAGACCCTCCAGGGATGCAATGGACAGTCAACCGCTTGCTTTGGGGCCATTATAAAGGGCATAATTCAGTGTTTTGAGCCCATTCACAATATTGGGCAACCATCATGTTTACTTAATTCCAGAACATTTTAGACCCCAGAAGAAAGTCAGAGCAAATGAACAGTGATTCCTCAAATGTTAATATCTGGGGAAATGTTCTATTGCTGATATGAAGCCAGGTGTCATCTGGAGAGACAATTCCCATTCTGCAGAAAGTCTGACACAATGGCACTCAGCAAAATCACTAATGTCAGGCCCTGATAATCCAGGTGTCACCTCATCACCAAGCACCCTCCCTGCTTCCAGCACTGCCTGACCTAAGAACTGTAAAGGATGGTTGAGTCCGAGGTGGCCTTGGGTACCTGTTGTCTGAGCATTGCTGGGACTTCTCTCTCAGTCAACATGTAGATAGACAATCCCTGTAACCACTTCCGTGCTTTGACTAAAATAATCTCCATATAGTAACACAGCAAGATGTTTTTGGTATACATCTGCATGGTTAATGTGTAGCCCAAGTTGTCTAAAGAAGAAAAAACAAGCTGGGCACCAGCCCCATTCACTGGGCAGTGGGTTCGAACGTAGCCCGGGCCTGCTAAAACAAACAAAAAAAATAGCCAGGCATTGTGGCGGGTGCTTGTAGTCCCAGCTACTTGGGAGGCTGAGGCAAGAGAATTGCTTGAGGCCAAGTTTGAGGTTACTGTGAGCTATGACACCATAGCACTCTACAAGTGAGACTCTGTCTCAATTGGAAAAAAAAAAAAAAAGAAAGAAAAAACAGTTCAAATACAGTTACGTGCTGTGTAATAAGGTTCTGGTCAATGATGAGCTGCACATATGACAGTGGACTCATAAGATTATAACAGAGCTGACACATTCCTATTGCCTAGTATCATAGCCCTTGCAGTGTCATCACATAAGGCATTACTCGTGTGTTTGTGGTGCTGCTGGTGCAAACAGGCCTGTGCTGCCCACCATGTGTAAGTGTGGCACGTACAACTATATACAGTATACCGTATCACCGGTTTACAAGTTTACTATACCATATTTTTTATTATTTTAGAATACATTCCTTCTACTTATACTTAAAAGAAGCAGCCTCTGGCAGGCCCTCCAAGAGACATTCAGAGGGCGTTGCTGTCATAGGAGACGGCAGCTACACATGCATTACCACCCCTGCACTTTCGAGTTGGAGATGTGGGGTGGAGACAGTAATACTGAAGATCCTCACCCTGTGTGTGGGCCTGGGCAAATGTGTAGTTGTGTCTCCGTTTTCAACAAGAAAGTTTAAAAATGAAAAAATAAACTTAACATTTTTAAATAGAAAAAAGCTTATGTAAACATAATATTTTTGTACGGTAATATAATGTATTTGCGTTTTAAGCTAAGTGCTATTACAAGAGTCAAAAGGTTTTTTGATGAAAAAGTTTATAAAGTAAAAATGTTACAGTAGGCTAAGGTTTATTTGTTACTGAAGAAAGAAATTTTAAAAATAATTTAGTGCAGCCAAAGTATCTAGTGTCCACAGTGGAACACAGTGACATCGTTGGCCTTCATACTCACTCACCATCTGCTTCCAGTCCTGCAGGCTCCACTCATGGAAAGCACCCTACACAGGTGTGCTGTTTTTTATCTTACACACTGTATTTTTCCTGTACCTTTTCTATGTTTAGAAACACAAATACTTACCATTGGGTATTCAGTGTAGCACCATGCTGTACAGTCTGTGCTATCTACATTGTGTAAGTATACCCTGTCATGTTCACACAATGACAAACTTATCAAAATATATCCCTGTTGTTAAGTGACACATGACTGTACTGAAATCACAAAGTAATCCCCAAGCATGTAGTAGGCAAGAGAACCGATCTGCTTGGCAATCGCACTACCGCACCTGACTGTATGCAATCACAAGTTCATGAAAGTTTTCACCAAACAATAATTTGCTTTATTTCTCTTAAAATACGCCATAATTAAACCAACTAGAGGCACTGTGATCAGCATCTCTGATTTAAAAGGAGGCAATGAGAGCAAAATTTCTCTGAGGAGTGGGAAGGTGAGCAGCACTTCCTAGGAGTTCTCAAGCCAGTGTATTGCTGACTATGATAGAGGCAAAGATCGCGACATATTTCCACTCCCAGAAACTTATAGCTCCAGATGGAAGCTCCTCCTCAATTATTTCCTCAGGCAGCAAGTCCCTTTCAACATTAGTAGGTCCTCCTGCATTGCAAAGCATGCCATTACAACAACGAACGAAGTAGAAACTATTAGTTTTGTAGCGTCTTCTTGGGGTTTCAGGAGGCATTTCAGATGGATATACAAATGTGCAGTTGAATGTACAGCTTTTATAAACTAATAGTTCCCGTGGGTTCAAACCTGAAAATGAAGTAGATGAAAATTACTGATTTCACATTTTCTGTCTGTAAATGTCAAAGCACACACACCTTACAATCAACTACAACTAACTCAATTCTATATTCCCAACTGTGGCAACATAGTCTAGAATTCTATAATGAAAATGTTCCAGTCCACTACAGCAGTGATTCCCAAACCCTGGGCCGTAGACCGGTACTGGTTCATGGTCTGTTAGAAACTGGGCTGCACAGCAGAAAGTGAGCAGGAAAAAGTGAGGGAAGCTTCATCTGTCACCATGTCCCCCTCCATAGGATCACCTAGTTGCAGAAAAACAAGCTCAGGACTTCCACTGATTCCGCATTATGATGAGTTGTGTAATTATTTCATTATATATTACAATGAAGTAATGACAGAAACAAAGTACACAATAAATGTAATGTGCCCGAATCATCCCGAAACCATTCCCCCTATCCCAGATCCAGGGAAAAATTAACTACCATGAAACAAGTCTATGGTGCCAAAAAGGTTAGGGACTGCTGCACCAGGTAGTCTCATTAGCCCAAGAACCTCTTCTGGCAATATTTTTTCTATCCAAGCTGCCATCTTTATGTTTGCCACTGGCCCTCCGAAAACAGTGTTATAATACCCTTCATGTAGCTATACAAATGAAATGCCCGGGTTGCTTTTTGCCATAATAATTCTAAACCTTTAGGGTGAAGACTAGGAATCATGCTTTACTTATGTCCCAAGGATCATAAATACCTGCAACAGGGGTTCCCATATTAATGTGGCCTTAACCTGATTTTCTGCAGTTGGCAAGATGAAAGCCCCAACTCCTCAGACACTTCTACAAGCAGCCACAGCTGCACATAAGAAGCACGTGGGCTTCTATGCCCATATATTGGTTTTGCCTGTTTTTGAACTTTATGAAGTGAAATCACACTTCATGTTTGTTTTGTGCATGGCTCCTTCTGCTTTACTCTATGTTCATGAACAACAGCCCTGTAGCTGCACATTGTTGTGTACTGCCCATCCTCACAGATGTATACAATTACATTGATGAACGCACCACAGCTTAGTGTTCGTGGGCATAATGGTTATTTCTGGCTTTCATCTACTCCAAATAGTGCTACAACGAATTGTTGAATATTGTCTTTGTCTTGAGGTGAGCACATGTGAGTCTTTTTTATTAACTATGTACCTAGGAGCAGAAATCCCTGAGTCTTTAATATGCAACTTCAGCAGATAACGTTGAATCATTTTCCAGACTAGATTGAACCCACCTATACTCCAAAGGATAGTGTACACTTCAAATCCTTGACAACACTGAGAAAGGGCATTTTTGAATATTTAGTCCATTCCCTGTGGTTTTGTCATGTTGCAGTTTTAAGCTGCATTTCCATCAAAGAGGAATGACACTGGATGACTTTTCTTACATTTGTTACCCACTCAGATACCATTCTCTAGTATGTTTCTTTCAAGTCTTTTGTTTAAATTTTATTGGAAAATCTGTTTTTTATTTATTAATTTGTAGGAAGAACTTCATTATATATTATGAATAGGAGTCCTTTAGCAGATATATGTTTTGAAATGCTTTTTCTTCATCTTGCATTTTTCCTGTTTTATAGGTTTTTTCCTTACTAGAAGTTGTGAAATTTAATGCAATATAATTTATCAATTTCATACTTGTATGACTAGCACTATTTTGTTCTGTTTTTAAAATTCTTAATTCCCAAAGGACGCAAATATATTATTCCACATTTTCCTCTAAAATCTTTGTTCAGTATTTACACTAAGATCTGCAAACCACCTGAAACCGCTTCTTTTGTACAGTGCAAATATTGTGTATATCTGTCTAATATAACCACCACTATTGAATTTAAACAAACATCTTTCCCCACTTTATTGTTGGGTCACCTTTGTCCAAGAGCCAGTCATTGAATGTATGTGGCTTTTTCTGAATTCTTTCTATTTTAGTATTCTATTTTTCAATCCTGGCCACAGGATCCAACAATAAACTATCTTAATTAATTAAACTACATAAATAATCTTGGTAGTTCACAGCACATGTCCTTCAGTTTTTTGTTTTTCCTCAAGATGCCTTAGCTAATCCCAATCTTTTACCTTCCAGTAAGTATTCAGAATCAACTTGTGTATACACACACACACACACACACACACTCTCCTAAGACTGAAATTCTCTTGAATTCAAGGATTAAAGTGAGGTAAAGAGATGTCTTTGTTGGATCTCATGACCCATGAGCATGCTATATTCTTCCATGTGCTTAAGTCTGCAAAAGTGTTTTTGCAATTTTGATGTTCAAATCTTGCGCAAATTTAGTTACATTTCTTTCTAGGCATTGATTTTGTAGTGCTCTTAAAAACAGGTGCCTGCCATAACTAACACCTCTGCTAGTTTTTTTATTTTTAGTAGAGACAGGGTCTCACTCTTGGCTGTGAATTTCAATTTGTTTCTTGACCAGGCTCAGTGGTTCATACCTAAAATCCCAGCACTCTGGGAAGCCGAGCTGGGTGCATTGCTTGAGCTCAGGAGTTTGAGACCAGCTAAGAGTGAGACCCTGTCTCTACTAAAAATAAAAAAACTAATAGGTGTTATGGCAGGCACCTGTAGTCCCAGCTACTCAGGAGGTTGAGGCAGGAGGACTGCTTGAGCCCAAGAGTCTGAGGTTGCTGTGAGTTATAATGCCAAAATTGTTTCTTGCTGTATGGAAAGACAATTTTTTAAAACTGATTTTCTGAATACTTACCTTGCGTCCGGTGTCCTTGCTAAAGTCACCTGTTATTTGAAAAGTTTATCTCTGATGAATAGTAGCAGTTTAAATTCTCCCTTTACAAACTCTAAGTGTTTTAATTCTTCCTCTTGCCGGAACTAAGAACTCCAGTTCCATTAGGAATAGAGGTGGGGATAAGAGGATCTTATTTCAATTTTTGTTTCATTGGGAAAATCTTTGATACATTCTCATTTAATTCTCATCTCATTCTATGAGGTCCAGTTTCCTTTCTGCTTTCATTTCCCTCACAGATTTTTTTTTTTTTAATTTGGAAAAGGCTTTGGACATTATCAAAAAGTTTTAGCATCCACAATTATTTTTCTTTGTTAATATGTGCTTCGGTGCAATTCTGAGATTGAGTCCATGAGGTAAAGGCTGTGATGTGTGTGTACACAAATTAACTTTTTATTTTAAAATCATTTTAGATTTCCAGAAAAGTTGTGAAGATTCCCTACACATCTCATATACAGCCTCCTTGTCTTGCATTACTTATATTCCTGTGGTACATTTGTCACCACTAAAGAACACACACTGACTCTTATTAGCACAACTTCATATGTCATTCAGTTTCCTCTGTTTTTCCTTACCGTTCCAATCCTGCTCCAGGTTCCTGCCCAGGATACTGTCATTAATATTTTGTTGGTACTATTTTTGCATCTGTAACCATATGAAAGGGTGGTCTGTAATTTCCCTTTCTTGTAATGTCTTTCCTGGGTTTTGGTATTAGGATTAAACTGCCATCATAAATGTGTCAGAAAGCAATTTGTTCCTTGTTTATCATCTGGAAGAACATGTGTAAGATAGGTATCATTTCTCCCATCCACATTTTGAAGAATTTGCCAGTGAAGCAAGCTGGACGTCAAGATTTCTTGGTGGGTAGGTTTCTCATAAAGGATTCCATTTTATTAACAGGACACTTTAACATTATGATTTCTTTGTGTGTCAGATATGGTTCTGTTTTTCAGGTTTTTGTTCATTTCATCAGAGGGGTTACTCATAATAGTCTCTTATTTTCTTTGAAAGGTCTGTAAAGTCTGTAAAGTCCTTTTCCATTTCAATTCTGAAATATGAATTTTATTTTTCCATCTTTGATTTTTCTTACTAGGTTTTACCAATACTATGAATCTTTCCAAAGAACCATCTACTGGCTTTGTTGATTTTATATACCTTATTTCTATTTCAAAGATTTCTTCAATTCTCTTTATATTTCCTTCCTCATTGCTTTGGGGGAATTTTGCTTTCTTTTTCTAGCTTCTTCGACGGAAGCTCAGATGTTTCCAGCTTTGCTCCCTCTACTATTCCACTGCACAAGTAGAGATTTTGCTCTAAACTCTTCTTCAGCCACTTTCCACTCATTTGACATGTCATATTGTCATCATTCAGACCTTAGTATTTCCTTATTTTGTTGTGACTTCTCTTTTGTGTGATTGGTTTTATTTAGATACGCTCTGGTTACTATTTCCAGGTAGTTGGCAGTTTCCTAGTTCACAGTGATTCCAAGTGTAATCCCATAGTAATAGAGAAGGAACTCTAAATAGTTTCAATCATGTGAACTTTGCTGATGCTTGTGTTATGTCATGTCTAAATACGGTAAATGTCAATATTGTAAACATCATATATACCCTTATAAGGATCCCATTTTTGCCAATTCCTGGCTCTGATGTTGTCTATGTCAATATTTCATTTGTTAATGCTGTAGTTCAAACCTTCTATGGCAGAAGATGGCAAACAGGAGCCCACAGGACAAATCCAGCCCACTAAGTGTGTCTATAAATAAACTTTTGTTGGAAAACATCAACAATAATATGTTTATTTGTCACTGGGAGCTGCTTCCACCCCTACAAAGGCAGGGCTGGGTAGTTTCAACAGAGACAGGAAGCCCACAAAGCTGAAACCATTTACTAGCCAGTTCTTTACAGAAGACGTCCACTAATCTGGACCACAGCCATGGTAAGTATTGTCTCCTTGCTTTAGCATCTAGAAGGTATGGAAAGAGGTGTGTTGATGTCGACTATATAACTGTGAGGGATTTGTCTTTCTAAGTTCTGTCACTTTTTTCTGTATATATTTTCATCCTGTGTTATTTGGTGCCTATAGATTTAGACCATGACATCTTCCTTGCAGTTTTATCACCTCATCTCCATAAAATACTGAAGTTTACTTTGCCCAAGTGGTGTAAAAGTTTTCCTTAGACAATGTTTAAATATACCACTTTTTATATTTTACTTT